AAACAGTATAAACCTTGAGTTCCAATATTTGATGGAAAATTATATTCGGCAATTATCTCAATAGTATAATCGCCACTTGTCTCTAAATCACTATCGGATATGACCTATATTTTTTAAGATTGTAGAATTTTTTTAAGTATTTTTATTGTTCAATCAAAATAAAAGTATATTTATAAGACAAACTGTTAATTTATCGCCTTTTCCAAAATATATTGAACCATCGGACATAAAACTCGCTCCGTTTCCTTCAATTGTTCCGAATTTATTATGTCCACTTTGATCTTGAATTGTACTTCCAGATGCAATTTGAGAATTTTGAACATTTTGATACCAATCGAATAGTAAAACTGTATTTGAGTCTTTCAATAGCCAAGGAGATCTGCATTTCGCTAATGAAGAGAGAGAGAGAGAGAGAGAGAGAGAGAGAGGATAGAGATGAATAGGAGAATAGTTACTAATCTTAATTATTACTTACTGTGTAAAAAGAAGAGTTGAAGGAGAAAAAGTTGATGAAAAAGTCTTTTCACTTTGGACATTTTCGATTGAATGATGTAAAATAGTACCTCTATTGAGGATAATACTCCAGGTAAGTTGCTATTTTCATCAGCTGTAGAATATTTACTTTTGTGATTAAGGAAAATGTAAAGAAAATAATTCAAGAAAATAGGTCAATGTCTTCACTGCTACGTAGTTTATCTTTGAATAGAGAATATGCTTAAGGGAATAAAATCGTCTCGTCATTGATTTATGTATAAAATTTGTTCAATAATCTTCACATTTAGATCACTGATTAATACGTTAACGTTTCACAAAAGGATAAATAAGAATGAAAGAAACGTATCTAAGTCTTAGTTCAGGCATTTTTCCCTTGTAGCGAACTATTGACAAAAGTTTCCTTGTGAAAAATTTGGATTTATATTGAAAAATATAGATTTATAGATTGAAAACGTTCAATCTTTCACCTAAATTCCAATTATACAATATGTTCAACTATTTTAAACACAAAAATATGAACGGAGAAAAACAAACTGAATCGTTCAATCTCGTGATTGTTGATATTTAAGATACCCTAGAAAGAAAGTGATATATACTATTCTTGATAAATATTGAACGGTACCGTAAGTGAAATAGGTCACTTTCAAAGAGATTAAAACAAGATCTACACGTTCTATCTATTTATACATTCTAAACTATTTTGAATAATCTTATAGTCAACAAAAGCATCATTGATTTTCTTGTAATTTTCACTTGAAAAGTGTATTTAAACATTTTAAAAAGAAAAATCTATAGATAGGAGAAGAAATTAGAAAAATAAAAAAAAAAATTTTCTTAGCAGAGCGTGGTTTCGATCCACGGACCTCTGGGTTATGGGCCCAGCACGCTTCCACTGCGCCACTCTGCTACTGATAATAATCGTTATTAATTTAATTGGAAAGTACATAAAATCAACCTGCTAATATAAATAGTTAATTAGAAACAAATGAATTAACAACATTCAGTGAAAATCTTCCAATTATCACGATATTCTTCCAGCTTAGTGTTTAAATCAAGTATAAGTGTGAGTTTAAATACAGTAGATGACACTAGTCCACAATACAATTATTAAAGAATATAAAAGATTAATGCATATATATGCAAAATGATTAGGAAGAGAGGAAAATGTTCATATAACAACTACATTTAAATAATTAAAAAGACTTAAGGCATTATTCACTATCTGATATTCAAAATCTCTCTCTCTCTCTCTTGAATGTAATTATAATCTTCCATTACTCCTGCTACTATTACTACTACTACGGCCATATTACAATTTCCTATAATTAAAATATGGAAAAAGGAATGAAATAATAGTTAATATTTTATACGAAAAGTCTTCCATTTTAGACGCAGGTGAAAAACAAATAGGGTATGGGTAGTTGTTAGTAGCGTTGGTTGTTAAGGTTACGGGACTAACAATAACACATAGAATATATTTTGTTTGACTATCTATCATCAAAAGGATAAATTAATACGAATTGAATTATTTTTGTATAATAAAAGTTAAGTAAAACATTATTTTAACAATTTTCTATTTGTTTTATTTTTAGTTGTCAAGGAATAAAGAACTAAACTAAAGAATAATCGTATTAACGCCATAATGACTATTCAAACTTTATTATAAGTAAAAAGTTAAAAGAGCAAACGATATCTACTAAATATATTTAATGGAAAGGAAAAAAGAGGAAAGAGGAAGTTTTCTACAGTTTTATAATATATTCAAAAACAAAAAATCTACGAAAATCAAGACTAGATATTGATATTCAAACAAATAAAACTGTATTTGTTTGAATAGATGAATGTATGCCGATTTTGTAAATATTTAATTAAGTATTTTATAAGACAAAGGAGGAAGAGAAGTATCTTAGTAACCCTTAATGAAATTGTTAATACCCATCTAGTATAATTCTCTGTATAGATGTATATTTATAAGTAATTATATTGTTTATTTCTATTCTATTATAGCAGAGAGAGAGAGAGAGAGGGAGAGAGGTTTTTGTATTATTTTAATTAATTCTTGCGCATTTGTACTGGTATTCCTTTGTTTTTAATTCCAGCGAATGTCTATTAAAGGCGATAATAAAGGATATTTGTTGTAGGTAATGAGCTAATGTAATATGAAAAAAAATGTATTTTTAAACAGAATGGCTGCAAGTTGTGCCAGTCACGGCTTGTATCTATTAAAATAGACATACAAATTTAGATATCAGCGCGCAACAAGAGGCTATCAATCAGTAGAGATATAATACTACTTGTTCCCCTTTTACTAGTTAAACATAAAATTTAAGAATTTCACTTAAAGAATATATCTTAAAGTTATATTAAAAAAATGCTTTTAATGATTACTTCAAGCCTTTATAGTTTTACTGTTGACTTAAGTAAATACAAGTATTGAACGTATGAAATATGACGAGAAATGCAAAGATTTTCCTGTCTATTTTTATGTTCCGTTTTATTATTTTTATATAAAAGAGAAACGCTAAAGAGTATCTGTGAACATTCCTTGAATATATATAGAAAGTAAAAGGGGAGAAAGGTTTCTTTTGTTTAAGATTATTTGACCGGTCAATTAGTATTTATTTATCATACAATAAATTAGGAAAATGCCCTTTTTAAAGTTAATTTAATTCTATTTACTTTATTCCAACAGATTTATAAAGGAAGAATAAATATTGTTATTCATATATTCATTAACTTTGAAGGTTACGAAACTGTAGAAGGAATTTGTTGCATTTACCTCTTTTTCCAAAGAAATTAGATGCAAATTCGTTGCAATTGAAACATAAAATATTGTGTAATTAGGTCCCATTCGCTTATTTATTTCAAAAAATACCGAAGAGGACTTAATTCCACTATGTTTTACAGAATCAAGATATTTTATATTTGAGGCAATGAATTATCCTTTCAAAAGATCATTTTTCTTTGTCAAACCTGTTGTCGGATAAAAAATTTATAATCAAGACTATAAACGAATGTGTTAACCTTTGAAGTTTACTTCCCTTCTTTACGGTTGTTCATAAGAAAAATGCAGTAAAAATCAATCTCGGACGAAAAATTACCTTCCTTATACTTCGTTAATTACCGGCAGAGTGCGCTTTTAACCTTTAACTACTAAGTATATAATAATAAACTACTATTATAGTATAGTTTCACTCTTAAATGAAAACGAGAAATTGTCAATCTTTTCTTAACGTTTGGAAAGAAAGAAAAAATTGAACGAAACGAAAATAATAGAACTTACTAATAGAGAAAGTGAACATTCACTAATTAAGAAATAAATGGCTAACGGGGAAATATTTATACTAAAAAAATTTCCCGCCAGTTCATTCGATATACCTATTATTGAACTTTAAGGTATTGATTAATCGTACAAAAAGAAACTGAAAATACAACACGTAATAGGTTAAAATCCGTTTAAGGCAATTTTCCAAAAGAACTCTTTAACTGTTTTATCCATTGAGAAATGCATAACTTATTATTAAAATTTTTACCTTAATGCTAATATATCTAGATGTTCACGGAAGGAAGGTATATATTTATATAAATGCTGTATTATCTGCCTATAGGCAAAATGACGTATATGCATGACGTACGTATAAATTATCCTAAATAAGGCAAAACACAAGCAAATGACATGAATATAAAGAAAAAACTTTTAAACATGTGACCATTTGGTGTTGTATACTTTTCATTTGTCTATATCATTATACTAAATCTCTATCTGTAGTTTTGCTTGCAAAAACTGTTGTATTTAGTTAATTTGTTTCCTATTTAGAGCTGGCCTATTTTCCAATTCTTCCCATTCAACTTGTATTTGTATAAAAAACCTTTTCCATTTTACGTCTAAGACAGTGATATATAAAAAGGCACAGAGAACACTTTTATAGAATTTCTTTATGCAGTACAGTTTGGATTAAGAACCTCCATTTCTTTTTGTAATCTACAATTTAATTTTCTTTGCTATTGTATGGAGTTTGGCGGACGTCAACTCTTAATTTTAGGTGTCATAGCAACCGTGTAAAAACTACTTAATAGCTTATGAAATAATCCACATTATAAACATATTTTTAGTTATAAAACAATTCATATGTTAAAAACTTTTTATCCTTTACAACGATTATTTATTATCGTGACTGTGTATTTAGGATTTACATAATTGTTTTCAGTAACAATAGTTCACATGTAGAACATAGAAGAAGAAGAAGAAGAAGAAGAAGAAGAAATGAGCTAAATATTCTAAAATTAAAATTTCATACAATTTCTATTTGTAACACGATCTTGAAGTATTTTTGTATTTAATTTATTTTCATAGTGATCTGATTACTATATACAATTTTCATTTCTCTTTTTTGTATTTAATAAAAGACCTATATTATAGGCCTATGTTATAAATTAATAAAACTTTTACAATATTTCTCTAAATAATAATAACAACAACAATAATAACGGAGATAAAAGGTATTAAGTATTAATGTAAAGAGGAGAGAAGATGTATTATTTTTTAATAAGTATAGAGATTAAATTTTCAATAAAGTACATAAAATTTCTATAATATATACAATATGCAAAAATGAGTCACAGAGAGAGAAAGAGAGAGAGAGACGTCGTCTACAAACGATAACTAAAACGATTGAAAACTATAGATAAATTGATTAATATTTGAAAAGGAAAAGTGATTGTTTACAATATTAATTTTTTAATAAGAGTCATGAGTAATAAGATCGTGATCAAATATAATGTTGGCTTAGATCCTGCGCATGTTTGAGGGTAGATGTAAGTTGTTGAAAAGCTATTCAAGGCACCACATTGTTTAAGGGCCGATATTTCGCAGCATTTTTTTGTCGATTCCATATTTTTAATTTTAACATTACAACCTACTAATTGTTTTTTACAATCTGCAAAATAATACCTTTAAAGTTAAAGTAATAAATATTTAAAACGAAAAGTTTATTCACCTGTTCCACAAATTTTCTTACTATATTCAATAGCAGAGTCGCGAGTACCATTTGTGCAAGCTTCCATATTATCTTTTGCGCAGTTTTGTAAAGTTTTCATAAATGGACATATCTTATCCATATCATAATAGTATTTATTAGTTATATCATTAAAGCCTTTTAACGCTGGTTCAAGGCATTTATTTACTTCAGTATTGCAATCAGCTGAACCATATTCGAAATTCAAATCTGAGTAAGAAATGAATATTATATATAGACAAAATGTTCAATTAGCAAGTCTTACTTGAATTGATAAAGAATAAAATTAACACTGAATAGATTACTTTCATTTTTAAATATGAAATATTAATTTCTCCTCTCTTAATCTTATGAAAACTTGCTTTAAAATGCAATCATGAACCGAACTTTATAGGATCAATTTTTTGAATTAGTTGACTCATTTTTATTCTCTGCTATAGAAGAGAAATTCATTTGTCGGGGCAATGAATGGTCGGCCAATGAATTATACTACCAGTAGTCACGATCTTCATAGTAGACCCTTCAATTTCGCTATGAAAGATATTTCAATAGTTGTAAAATATATCATTAGAAAACTACGTGTTTCCCTCCTAACCATGTTACGTATTGAATGTTCAATAGAGTAAAGAACGATATATTTCCGAAAGGTCGAGTATTATTCGATACTTTTGCATTCTATAATTTGTATTTCTGCATATTCCCAATCAAATTTATATTTGTGTATTGCGGTCAATAAAGACGCCATAGTAGTGTGAAAAAGCATATAAAACTGATTTAAAGAAATCATTATTGATAGCTTAATTATCCGAAACAGCATTAGTCTATTTCATTTTAAAGAAAAAGTATCAGGTGAAAAAGTAACAATTTTCGTATTACATGCAAATAGTTATACAGTAGCATTTTTCTTCTTTCAAACGGATTCAAATTACCCTTTTTCCTATCAATAAACATCCAAAGATAACAATAAGTTTTCGAATCTATATTTATGCGTATAGAAATTTCATCGAAAACAATTTCTAAAGACTTTCCATTAGGCATAGTCGAAAGGAAAAATGCCACATTGTTTATTTGTATTCAAGCCCAAAGGATTTGCCATGATGATATTTGTTGCTTAGTGACTATTAGAGATAATTCTACGGAATTAAATAATTTGAAAAATCTAGTGTATCTTAAAGAGATTGAAATGAAGAATTGCGTTGAAGATAGTTTACATTTATACATAAATAGCCATCATGAAATGAAAGTCATTAATATCAATTTACTGAGCCGAGGTTACATATTTGGAGAGCATTTCTTTGTAAACCGAAAAGATATTCACATTAATCTCACTTCAAATAACAAAAACATTTTAAAAGATCAATTTCCTTTGATGGAGAGACTGGAAAGTGAAAACTGCAGATTTTCAATCAAGTATTACATTGGTAAAAAACTAACATTAAAAATTCATAATGCAAAATTGGTCCTCACTGAGAATGGTTTGGACAAACCAACAGTTTTATCAATACAAAGTAAATGTTCGTATGAAATTGACAAGTCATCAGGCACAATTAGATTTCAAAACTTTGTGGACTGTCGACCAACAGGACTTTGCTTTTTTCAACCTGTCGATTTATACATCAAACCGCTGTTGGTTTATAAAAATGGCGCTGAAATCTCAACTAACAATGTTTCTAAAAACGCAATTTTTGACAAGGCTTCAGGATTTGCCTGCCTAAAAATCACAGGCTTTAGTGATCATGGTCTACTTGAAAATTGGGAAAAGGACAAAATGCTTTACATTCACTATTTCATTTCCATTCAAAATATGAACAGAGGTTCAAGATTAAACATTTATTATAGTCTAAACGAACCACTCGGCGTAGTAAGACAAATTAAATAAAAGCAATATCTTTTAAACGTTTTTCTAATGAAATTAATTGAAACATCAGACAGGCACCGCCAAGAATGTACAGCATTCTAATTCAACGTTGAAGTTACACTTCCGTGAGCAGTTTAAACATTTAAAACAATATGGAATTCAAATTACCTTAACATCAGAACCACACAAAAGTTGTCATAAGAGTTTTTATCAAATTTTCAGCAATTACACATCTGGTAATATTTCTATTCAAACAAGCAAATAAACTAACCTTTTCAACATTTGTCACTGCTCCATTCAAAGGTGAAACGGCCTCGATAACTTTACCGTTGGACATGTCAATGGAAAATTTGCAGTCCGACATTCAGTTCCAAGTAAAGCCAGATATTAGAAATTACAACGGTCTGTTTGAAGAATTCATCTCATACAAAGAAGCAATTGCAGAAAATCTCACGCAACAGCAATTAGATGAAAACTTTCAGAAATTTTTCTGCAAATTCGGTAAAAAAATTGATCTTCAGTAATGTTTTCAATTCCTTTTACAATTCTTCTTTTCTTTCTGTTTAGAAAGAAATGTCTTCCTTTCCTCAGCAATGCAACACTGCGAGATTACTAGCCAGCATGACATCAGACGTGGCTTGAGCGATGGCGTAGGCTTTTTGCTAATTTTATAGAAATTAACCGTAACATAGCTAACAGCAACATCATCTTTCTGACAGAACATTTACGATACAACATCAAGAAACCAGGTCGTTGTAATAATCATTGACGATGGGAACGGAGCAAGATCGGAAAACGACTGGATAAATCTGAAAATAATCTTCGCAAACCTAAAACATGAAATAGTACTGTGGAGAAATATTGACAGAGACGAATGTGAAAGGAAAATTCGATCACTGAAAACGAATCTTTCAACGTCGAATGAAAATGAGATGAACGTTCAATCTCTAATATTCTTTATTTTAGCCGACGGAAACAACAACTTGTTTTTCCTAAGCAACAATTCCACGTTCGAATTTAATGAATTTATAAATTACGTCGACAGCGACTTTCACCAATTCCAGGGAAAACCAAAGCTATTTTTCTTTCAAGTTCACAATCAACGTAAGATTTCTTTCATCTTTTCTTTTATTTCAAAATAATAACACACTTTTCGAAAAGTAGAAAACTCCGAGAGGGATCAATCATTCGTTGATCAAAGAGTTGCAATCAAACCCATCCCTTGCGATGACCACGTTGCCTGCCCACGGAACGTCACAAATAGATATGTATCACACGCAGCCAGAGATATCTTCTCGGTTCTTTGTACTCTTAAAGGTAAGCCAAGCGAACGGCAGTAACATCCTGTAATAAATGATTTGATGCATTGTTTCCTACAGACTCTCCATCACCCGCAAATAACTACGGCAGTAAATTCATTAGATCGTTTGTTCTCGCTATGGAATTTATTGGTAAAAATCAACCTCTCGACAAAGTTGTATACTTCATGTCCGAGTATTTGAGGCATTTTGGGGAAAGCAACCATCTGCCTTTAAGAGTTCATTCCGACGAGTTTTCTAGAAAATATTATTTCTTTCGAAATGAAAATTGTATAAACTTATAAACAATACACGCTGCCAATCATCACAAAGCACAGCTCGTTCTCTTCATCCTAGCCCCGTGCACAGTGAAGATACGCTGAGACTAAATTCGTCGGCTGTGAAACCGGCCAACAAAACGTCATCGCGCCCATCAAATTATAAAAGTCACCTTGACAAGAGTCAACAAAAACAATTTACCATATATGGATTACTTTAATCAGCTTTCACCGCTGTACCACATCTAGTCTATTATTACTTTCCACTTGCTCTAGTTTCAAACCAGCTCGGTTTATCCACAACAGGGAGCTTATACGGCTCACCATTGCCCTACACCCCTGCACTAGGCCCAGCACTGCAGATTTACCTTGCTTTCTATTGACAGAGACAACATTGCGCAGACAATTTCATTTCATAGATGTTGGTGTGACACAGCAAATTCACTTAAATCCGTACCCAACTAACAGCCGGATTGTTCACAATCAATCCGATTAATTTCTATAATTAACCAACATTCGTAGATTAAGCTAAAGCGGTAATTCGCTATTTAAGGAATAGTTGCCATGAATTTTCGTTATTACTTCAAAAAGCATCGAGAGAATGAGCTCGACTTGCGCAATAGTACTTTCTCTAGTTCTCTCTTTGTGCTTGTTCAGCAGTACGCATTCCAACAGTTCAAACATACGAAGAATAATCAACTCGGTTAGTTCAAGGAAAAGTGATGAAATGGCGAAAATTCAACGTTATTTGAATGAAAAAGTAAGTCGCTACTATAAAGATTGTATTTCTGTCAAAACTCAGTATCTCCACTTTTACAAAACAGAGACGGGACAATCATAGTCTCAACGGTTTTTGGATAAAATGCTATAATGACAAACTATGGATCAAAAACTCCAGTTGCTTTGTGCTGGGTTCTACGATATTTCAAATTTCCGGCATTGGTCCGTCGGATTTTACCGAAATTTGCCAACAAAATAATTATTTGAACTGCAAAGAAATTAATGAATTTGCTACGGTTTATTCAAAAACAGTCACGTGACTCATACATTTACAAGATATCAAATATGGCCGATTTCTTAATAAGCATCCTAGTTTCTATAGACAACTACAACAGTTGTTTAAGTTATAAAAGCCTTTGAAATACAAATGCCATCAATGTCAAAAACGGAACAACGCCAAGTCTGCAGCCTGCACAAGTTTTATCATACAAAATCTCCTTGGCCAAGTCGTTGAAAGCGCCACATTTCTTAACGGCACCTAATTCGCAGCAGTATTGCTTCGAGCTGTCCTTCTTAATTATTTCATTACACTTTTTCAACTCGTCTCTACAGCCTAACGAAGTAGAAATTTCAATCAATCTCTAATAGAACAAGGAAACGAAACCAACAAAGTCAACTAACCTGTTTTGCAAAACTTGGTCGTATAGCTCAAAGCATCTTCCCTCTTTTCAGCCGAGCAAGAAGGAGTCTCATCTTTAAAGCACTTTTCTACTTCAGTTACAATTGGACAAATCTTTTCCATATCGTATTGATCTGTAGCGATAATATCCAATATCTCATTCCTCTTTTCTTTGGCACAGTCTACACCTTCGTCGTAACATTTGTCAGCAAGCGCATTTGGAAGAGCCGACACTTTTCAATAAAATCAATCTGAAGCTGTTATGTTTTGCAGTGTATTTTCGCTTCAAACTTACCCACACAAAGTAGTCCAAACAAGAAGTACATCGCTTCCATTCTGATGAGTGAATATTCGAAAACATATCGATTTGCCCGTTTTATACGGTTGGTAAATAGTATGGTTTTGAATGTGGGGAAATTCCAATTTCGGGAAAGCTATTTGCATTTTTTAAAACGAGCAGGTGGCGCTAAGTTCCTTTTTAGGAAAGTCAACAAAGGTTTTATTTATTCACCAGCAGTGTGAATATTCGTTTCATTTATTCAGTAATACTCAAGATAACATGTGTAATTTATGAAAAATAGTGTCCACTACGGCTCAATTGCGGCAGTTTTTCAAGCAACAGTCGTTAACGTTGTTTGGTGAACTGCTGGTAGAGTTTGCTGACGATTGGGCTACAATTGCGAATGGGTCGATTATCTCCAGGTCTTCTCCATTGTCTTTGAAATCAAAGTAGCCCGAGTAACGTGACGCCTTCAACGCCTCGCTGACCAAACCGGAAATTGGCACAATTTCATTTCTCTACTTGTTGAAAAATGAGTTTATTTTTGGAATGTTTAATTTTATTGATAGATAAAATAACCTTGAAAATGTTTGAGTAGTCAAACTTGAAAGCTTCTTCGTAATCCTCTATTCCTCCTTTGTACACGGTATAGCAAGTGTGCGGCGTCGCCTTCTCTCTTCCCACTTTGAAAAGTCTGTAGGTTGCAGACACGAATTTCGCGTCACCTAGTCGTTTCAAAAATAATCATTACTTGTCAACACCGCTATTTTAGGGGCTTACTCACCAACAACTCTCTGCAACTCCTTATTCTTCAGGTCAATGACACTGGCGTTAACTAAAAGTGGAGTGCTGAATCCCACCCTTGTCGCTATATCAATTAGGTCACGCCAATACAGTGCGCCCGCAAAACACTCGCCTAAACAGCAATTCAATCAGTCAAATGCCTATTACTCTCTCTAATAAACGCATTTACAAACCCCATAAAGTTTTATGCTTTAGAATATCACCCGACAAACGACGATCCGCATAGACATCGCTAAAATACAACTCGCCTCCTTCCTGAAAATCATTTTTGCACTCAATTAACGCCGTGTAAACATTTTAAAGTGATTGTTACTTTTAGAACTTTGTAGGCCTGCCATAGAACGGCTTGTTTGTCCGGCGACAGGTTCAACACGCAATTTGATCTGAATAAGTAAGCAACTTCATAGTTATTGCAGCCAAAGTCTTATTTCAACTTTCGAAAGAGTAACGCTTACACAATGACGTCATATGAATTTTCCTCAATTCCGGCATCAGTCAATTTCTCTATAAATCCTCGTTTAAATTCTACATTTGGTTTAGAATAGCCAAATTGTCTCGTATGATAATCTATGTTTTCATCCGCCACGTCCAGCTAATCAACAAACATTGTGTATTTTAACTGACCAACTAATCGGGATACAGCTTACTATACTGTATCTTATCTATTAGTACAATTGCTTATCTATCTAAACAACTACTAGTCAACATATTAGGGGTCAAGGTTGTAGTAATGTGAACAAATTGGGAACAAAATTGCAATGGGAAAGCTACCTGCTCTTGTGTCATATCCAAACCAGTAACAAACCCATTTGGTCCCACCAACTTACTCAGACAAAAGCAGTCCCTACCAGCTCCACATCCCAAATCTAGAACTGAATAACCTTCAAGTGCAGGCGGTATGACTATACCACAACCGTAGTATTTTTCGTGAACCGCTCCTGCCACCTGGCTTAGAGCCTTCTTCACAGATTTTGTCATCACTTCTCCTTGTCCTGTTGTGCAGGCGGTTGTTTGCAGATCGTCGCTTTTCTGCAATACGTTTCTGAGAATGGTTTGGACAAACCAACAGTTTTATCAATACAAAGTAAATGTTCGTATGAAATTGACAAGTCATCAGGCACAATTAGATTTCAAAACTTTGTGGACTGTCGACCAACAGGACTTTGCTTTTTTCAACCTGTCGATTTATACATCAAACCGCTGTTGGTTTATAAAAATGGCGCTGAAATCTCAACTAACAATGTTTCTAAAAACGCAATTTTTGACAAGGCTTCAGGATTTGCCTGCCTAAAAATCACAGGCTTTAGTGATCATGGTCTACTTGAAAATTGGGAAAAGGACAAAATGCTTTACATTCACTATTTCATTTCCATTCAAAATATGAACAGAGGTTCAAGATTAAACATTTATTATAGTCTAAACGAACCACTCGGCGTAGTAAGACAAATTAAATAAAAGCAATATCTTTTAAACGTTTTTCTAATGAAATTAATTGAAACATCAGACAGGCACCGCCAAGAATGTACAGCATTCTAATTCAACGTTGAAGTTACACTTCCGTGAGCAGTTTAAACATTTAAAACAATATGGAATTCAAATTACCTTAACATCAGAACCACACAAAAGTTGTCATAAGAGTTTTTATCAAATTTTCAGCAATTACACATCTGGTAATATTTCTATTCAAACAAGCAAATAAACTAACCTTTTCAACATTTGTCACTGCTCCATTCAAAGGTGAAACGGCCTCGATAACTTTACCGTTGGACATGTCAATGGAAAATTTGCAGTCCGACATTCAGTTCCAAGTAAAGCCAGATATTAGAAATTACAACGGTCTGTTTGAAGAATTCATCTCATACAAAGAAGCAATTGCAGAAAATCTCACGCAACAGCAATTAGATGAAAACTTTCAGAAATTTTTCTGCAAATTCGGTAAAAAAATTGATCTTCAGTAATGTTTTCAATTCCTTTTACAATTCTTCTTTTCTTTCTGTTTAGAAAGAAATGTCTTCCTTTCCTCAGCAATGCAACACTGCGAGATTACTAGCCAGCATGACATCAGACGTGGCTTGAGCGATGGCGTAGGCTTTTTGCTAATTTTATAGAAATTAACCGTAACATAGCTAACAGCAACATCATCTTTCTGACAGAACATTTACGATACAACATCAAGAAACCAGGTCGTTGTAATAATCATTGACGATGGGAACGGAGCAAGATCGGAAAACGACTGGATAAATCTGAAAATAATCTTCGCAAACCTAAAACATGAAATAGTACTGTGGAGAAATATTGACAGAGACGAATGTGAAAGGAAAATTCGATCACTGAAAACGAATCTTTCAACGTCGAATGAAAATGAGATGAACGTTCAATCTCTAATATTCTTTATTTTAGCCGACGGAAACAACAACTTGTTTTTCCTAAGCAACAATTCCACGTTCGAATTTAATGAATTTATAAATTACGTCGACAGCGACTTTCACCAATTCCAGGGAAAACCAAAGCTATTTTTCTTTCAAGTTCACAATCAACGTAAGATTTCTTTCATCTTTTCTTTTATTTCAAAATAATAACACACTTTTCGAAAAGTAGAAAACTCCGAGAGGGATCAATCATTCGTTGATCAAAGAGTTGCAATCAAACCCATCCCTTGCGATGACCACGTTGCCTGCCCACGGAACGTCACAAATAGATATGTATCACACGCAGCCAGAGATATCTTCTCGGTTCTTTGTACTCTTAAAGGTAAGCCAAGCGAACGGCAGTAACATCCTGTAATAAATGATTTGATGCATTGTTTCCTACAGACTCTCCATCACCCGCAAATAACTACGGCAGTAAATTCATTAGATCGTTTGTTCTCGCTATGGAATTTATTGGTAAAAATCAACCTCTCGACAAAGTTGTATACTTCATGTCCGAGTATTTGAGGCATTTTGGGGAAAGCAACCATCTGCCTTTAAGAGTTCATTCCGACGAGTTTTCTAGAAAATATTATTTCTTTCGAAATGAAAATTGTATAAACTTATAAACAATACACGCTGCCAATCATCACAAAGCACAGCTCGTTCTCTTCATCCTAGCCCCGTGCACAGTGAAGATACGCTGAGACTAAATTCGTCGGCTGTGAAACCGGCCAACAAAACGTCATCGCGCCCATCAAATTATAAAAGTCACCTTGACAAGAGTCAACAAAAACAATTTACCATATATGGATTACTTTAATCAGCTTTCACCGCTGTACCACATCTAGTCTATTATTACTTTCCACTTGCTCTAGTTTCAAACCAGCTCGGTTTATCCACAACAGGGAGCTTATACGGCTCACCATTGCCCTACACCCCTGCACTAGGCCCAGCACTGCAGATTTACCTTGCTTTCTATTGACAGAGACAACATTGCGCAGACAATTTCATTTCATAGATGTTGGTGTGACACAGCAAATTCACTTAAATCCGTACCCAACTAACAGCCGGATTGTTCACAATCAATCCGATTAATTTCTATAATTAACCAACATTCGTAGATTAAGCTAAAGCGGTAATTCGCTATTTAAGGAATAGTTGCCATGAATTTTCGTTATTACTTCAAAAAGCATCGAGAGAATGAGCTCGACTTGCGCAATAGTACTTTCTCTAGTTCTCTCTTTGTGCTTGTTCAGCAGTACGCATTCCAACAGTTCAAACATACGAAGAATAATCAACTCGGTTAGTTCAAGGAAAAGTGATGAAATGGCGAAAATTCAACGTTATTTGAATGAAAAAGTAAGTCGCTACTATAAAGATTGTATTTCTGTCAAAACTCAGTATCTCCACTTTTACAAAACAGAGACGGGACAATCATAGTCTCAACGGTTTTTGGATAAAATGCTATAATGACAAACTATGGATCAAAAACTCCAGTTGCTTTGTGCTGGGTTCTACGATATTTCAAATTTCCGGCATTGGTCCGTCGGATTTTACCGAAATTTGCCAACAAAATAATTATTTGAACTGCAAAGAAATTAATGAATTTGCTACGGTTTATTCAAAAACAGTCACGTGACTCATACATTTACAAGATATCAAATATGGCCGATTTCTTAATAAGCATCCTAGTTTCTATAGACAACTACAACAGTTGTTTAAGTTATAAAAGCCTTTGAAATACAAATGCCATCAATGTCAAAAACGGAACAACGCCAAGTCTGCAGCCTGCACAAGTTTTATCATACAAAATCTCCTTGGCCAAGTCGTTGAAAGCGCCACATTTCTTAACGGCACCTAATTCGCAGCAGTATTGCTTCGAGCTGTCCTTCTTAATTATTTCATTACACTTTTTCAACTCGTCTCTACAGCCTAACGAAGTAGAAATTTCAATCAATCTCTAATAGAACAAGGAAACGAAACCAACAAAGTCAACTAACCTGTTTTGCAAAACTTGGTCGTATAGCTCAAAGCATCTTCCCTCTTTTCAGCCGAGCAAGAAGGAGTCTCATCTTTAAAGCACTTTTCTACTTCAGTTACAATTGGACAAATCTTTTCCATATCGTATTGATCTGTAGCGATAATATCCAATATCTCATTCCTCTTTTCTTTGGCACAGTCTACACCTTCGTCGTAACATTTGTCAGCAAGCGCATTTGGAAGAGCCGACACTTTTCAATAAAATCAATCTGAAGCTGTTATGTTTTGCAGTGTATTTTCGCTTCAAACTTACCCACACAAAGTAGTCCAAACAAGAAGTACATCGCTTCCATTCTGATGAGTGAATATTCGAAAACATATCGATTTGCCCGTTTTATACGGTTGGTAAATAGTATGGTTTTGAATGTGGGGAAATTCCAATTTCGGGAAAGCTATTTGCATTTTTTAAAACGAGCAGGTGGCGCTAAGTTCCTTTTTAGGAAAGTCAACAAAGGTTTTATTTATTCACCAGCAGTGTGAATATTCGTTTCATTTATTCAGTAATACTCAAGATAACATGTGTAATTTATGAAAAATAGTGTCCACTACGGCTCAATTGCGGCAGTTTTTCAAGCAACAGTCGTTAACGTTGTTTGGTGAACTGCTGGTAGAGTTTGCTGACGATTGGGCTACAATTGCGAATGGGTCGATTATCTCCAGGTCTTCTCCATTGTCTTTGAAATCAAAGTAGCCCGAGTAACGTGACGCCTTCAACGCCTCGCTGACCAAACCGGAAATTGGCACAATTTCATTTCTCTACTTGTTGAAAAATGAGTTTATTTTTGGAATGTTTAATTTTATTGATAGATAAAATAACCTTGAAAATGTTTGAGTAGTCAAACTTGAAAGCTTCTTCGTAATCCTCTATTCCTCCTTTGTACACGGTATAGCAAGTGTGCGGCGTCGCCTTCTCTCTTCCCACTTTGAAAAGTCTGTAGGTTGCAGACACGAATTTCGCGTCACCTAGTCGTTTCAAAAATAATCATTACTTGTCAACACCGCTATTTTAGGGGCTTACTCACCAACAACTCTCTGCAACTCCTTATTCTTCAGGTCAATGACACTGGCGTTAACTAAAAGTGGAGTGCTGAATCCCACCCTTGTCGCTATATCAATTAGGTCACGCCAATACAGTGCGCCCGCAAAACACTCGCCTAAACAGCAATTCAATCAGTCAAATGCCTATTACTCTCTCTAATAAACGCATTTACAAACCCCATAAAGTTTTATGCTTTAGAATATCACCCGACAAACGACGATCCGCATAGACATCGCTAAAATACAACTCGCCTCCTTCCTGAAAATCATTTTTGCACTCAATTAACGCCGTGTAAACATTTTAAAGTGATTGTTACTTTTAGAACTTTGTAGGCCTGCCATAGAACGGCTTGTTTGTCCGGCGACAGGTTCAACACGCAATTTGATCTGAATAAGTAAGCAACTTCATAGTTATTGCAGCCAAAGTCTTATTTCAACTTTCGAAAGAGTAACGCTTACACAATGACGTCATATGAATTTTCCTCAATTCCGGCATCAGTCAATTTCTCTATAAATCCTCGTTTAAATTCTACATTTGGTTTAGAATAGCCAAATTGTCTCGTATGATAATCTATGTTTTCATCCGCCACGTCCAGCTAATCAACAAACATTGTGTATTTTAACTGACCAACTAATCGGGATACAGCTTACTATACTGTATCTTATCTATTAGTACAATTGCTTATCTATCTAAACAACTACTAGTCAACATATTAGGGGTCAAGGTTGTAGTAATGTGAACAAATTGGGAACAAAATTGCAATGGGAAAGCTACCTGCTCTTGTGTCATATCCAAACCAGTAACAAACCCATTTGGTCCCACCAACTTACTCAGACAAAAGCAGTCCCTACCAGCTCCACATCCCAAATCTAGAACTGAACAACCTTCAAGTGCAGGCGGTATGACTATACCACAACCGTAGTATTTTTCGTGAACCGCTCCTGCCACCTGGCTTAGAGCCTTCTTCACAGATTTTGTCATCACTTCTCCTTGTCCTGTTGTGCAGGCGGTTGTTTGCAGATCGTCGCTTTTCTGCAATACGTTTCCGTAGTAGTCTTTGACGTTTTCATAAATTTCCTCCGACATTTTTTCTTCTCTTCTTTTGCCTCGACGAAAATTTCGACAAATTTTCAAATATTTCCAATTTCTGCTTTCCAGTCTATAGACTAAAGCCAAACTATAAAATTCAACAGCAAAACAGCTGCCTTAAATACTTGTAGAAAATCTAGTTATTGCCGATTTAGGCCTAAGTGAGTTGCGATAAAACGCGATAAAATACTATTATTAGCTTTCTCATTTTTCCCATTAGCTTTTAACCGAATTCTCATTTCTTTTTGTCCCATTCAAGTTCTGCTTTCTCAATTTTTTCACAAATCAATTTCAATATTTAGAATAGCGATTATCTAGACAAGTTCAATTCGACCTCTGCTACGTATTTCGCAGGAAACGACCCTTCAATGTTTCAACCATTCGGTGACAAAGCAAAAATAAATGCCAACGCTTACGTTAATATTAATGCGGCCAGTAGAATCTTTTTGAATATACAATAGGCAAAATGCTGATATCTTATCCCGTTTCTTGAACTGTTCATCCGTCCGATGCCCTTTTCTGTGTTCTCTCCAATAGAAATCTAGCAAGAAATGACTATTTAAGGCTTCAAATATTCTCTTATTGAGCCGTCGCCTTGTTTATGCTTCGCTAAAAGAATCCATCGTTCAATATGACAAAAAGGATTTTGGATAATGTTAAGGATTATTATGGAAAAGTTATTGAAAGCAGCCGTGATTTGAAAACGTCTGCTTGCACGGCAGATAAACATGCGTTAACAAAATCTGTCAAGGAAGCACTCTCTTTGATCAACGAAGAAGTCAACTCAAGATACTTTGGTTGTGGTATTACTCTTCCGCCAGCGCTAGAGGGATGTTCAGTACTAGATTTGGGTTGCGGCGCTGGCAGAGATTGCTTTTGTCTCAGCAAGTTGGTTGGTCCAAATGGACGTGTTACTGGTATAGATATGACTCCCGAACTGGTAATACACTTTTTTTGATTTAAATCAACAGACTACTGAATACAAATTAATGAAAACCCTAAAAACACATCCACAGTTGGATATTGCAAAGAAGAATGTGGACTGCCATACAAAGACATTCGGATATTCTAAGCCCAATGTCGAATTCAAAAGTGGATTTATCGAGCAATTAGACAAAGCCGGAATAGAGCGAGAGTCTTACGATGTCATTGTGTAAGCAGTCCATCTACACTGTACTCTCTAGTTGTCACTTATATTTTCATTTATCAAACCATCAGCTCAAATTGCGTGATAAACCTTTCACCAGACAAAGAGGCTGTTTTATCACAAGCCTTTACGGCTCTAAAGGTAAACTAATCATGGTTAGCAATGATACCATGATCAACTTGAACAGTTAACACGACTACTTCAAGGTAACAGCTAATCAGAGTTAATATACTATACACAGGAAGGTGGAGAGTTGTATTTTAGTGACATGTATACGGACTCGAAACTTTCGGCCGAAATAAAAAACGATAGCATCCTCTGGGGTAAGCATTTTCCATCGGCACTCTAATATTCTCAGCATACTCAGCCTTTAGCCTTGTAAATGTCTTGTTAGGTGAAGGTATAGCAGGCGCTTTACACTGGCAAGATCTTTTAGAAATGGCAAAGAGAATAGGCTTTACTACTCCAATTTTGTATAAAGCGAGTCCCATATGCTTGATAGACAAGCACATTCAAACACGAGTCGGTCAGTTGAAAGTATTTCAAATACTGAATAGAAACAGATTGAAGTTTACACTCTCGTTGAAATCTCCTTCCAGGCAATGCTAAATTCATTTCCGCAACCTATAGACTTTTCAAACTACCTAAACACAACGTCCCTAAAATGCTAGTAACTTATTGTGGTAATATTGAAGGACACGAACATAATTTCAAGTTTGATATCTACAACAACTTCAAGGTTAGTTGATTGATTAATCAAATATGCAATTAATACAACGTCTATTCAAATATTCAGACGAATCAAAGACACCTAGTGTCCAAAGAACTGTCTTTAATTTTTTCAACAACCAGATATGCAAAATACTTTCGAATTGAAAAATACGAGCATACTTTGGAAAAGACGAATCCTTTTTCCATTGCTTATGAAGAGTGAAATGGAACATTGTGGTTCTAACCTAGCTAAGGGAAAACTATAGAATGATTAACGTATATGATTATGCCAACTACTCAATGTACTAGGGGTACATATTCAATTTCCCCTTAGTAGAATTGATCATTTGCACTGATTGTTAACAATAAATCTCTTTGGAGTTCGTCTTTTAATTATCTGAAAGTAATCTTGCCATCTCTTATAGATATAAGTCGATGGCGTCTGTGGACTGACAAATTCCCCAGTACACCAGTTTGGTAGATTAGCCATTCGCAGGACTGTTCTTGTTTAGTTCTTCGCAAGGCATAATTTGCATCTCTTCAACACCCTTTTGATCCCATTTGCAACGGATATGTTTTCGGATCTTATATAGACTTTGATTCCGTGGCCATTAGTGATTTCACTACATGACGTATATGATTTGATAGTTTTAGTTTCCTATTATCCAGATAGCTGAAGACGATTTTACTATCGATAAATACTCTAATATGAGTGTTAGGGAAAATATTATTGTAGGGTTCAATAAAATTTGCGGCTTGTAACGCTGTTGTCAATTCTACTCGAGGGATTGATGTTCAGCGAGAGGAAAATAATATGGGAGGTGGACGCTAGAAGATTATAATAGCTATCATTTATGGCATATACGGCGGTTTCGTATGAAATGTCTGATGTGACATCATATATGGGGATAGCACTGGGTGTTGGCATGAGTCTGGGTAGGGAATAAGTTCCAGATATTATAAAATATTTTTTTATATACAAAGGGATGGTACCTGGCTCTTTTTTCAAAAGAGGTCATGCCTTGATCTGTAATTTCTGGTACGGAGTCCGCTATGTAAGCATTATTACCATCAACTACATTTATATAGAATACTGATAACGATTATTTTATAAAATATCCTACTGCAAATACGTTTGAGAAGTATAGGAACAAACATAAGGGAATTAGTACAATTACTCTTTCATATCAATAGTTAAACGTCCAATTTTTTTTGATATATGATTAATCGGTTTATTTTTATAGTAGCAATTCAACACTTGAGCGCTCGTCTCTTTGGAAAGCATACCTACCGTCTGTCTTACCGACGTTTAGGGCCATGATAATTCATTCCATATTTTTAATTGATGTTATGATCATAAAAAGATAATTAAATTTTCTTCTATTTCTTCTGAAATCTGTGTTTTGACCTTCAACTAATTAAGCTTCTTTTCCATTTTATAACAACCCTACAAGGTATTCTTAAATAAGGCGATGATTAGATTCAAATAACTTAACTATACCTCTGTTCCCCATAAAAACATTTTCCAAGTAATATGAATTTTTAAAGTGCGATAGCCATGACGTTCATAAAGTCTTCTAGCATAAACGTTCGATAACACAACTATAAGCGAAACTTTCTATATATAAAAACAATCATTAGTTTTTTTATATAATAATAATAATGATAATAATAATAATAACATTCATATTTCTTTCTCGGCATACATCATGTGCCTTAGTTAACAGCTGGTCACCAATGCCTAATCCTCTTGCCTTTTCATCAACAGTTACAAGTTCAATAGAAGCTTCATCCGGATCACGTCTTTTCAGATAAGTTACCATTCCAGAAGATGTAATTGTTGTAATCATAGACCATAATGGAAAGTTTGAAAGGTGTTTTATCAATTGTAAAGTAAAGAATTTCTCATTTCTGCTTGTAAAAAGAGATATATTAAAGTCTTTGCTTATTGTGACTTACGGTTTGTAAACAGATATTTGGCATACTCCTAAAACTTTGTTATCGAATTCGGCAACTAAAACATCGTTCCTTTTACTGTGTTCACCCTTGTATCGATTTACTGAAAAGAATTTAATGTATTCATATGCTTTTTCATTGTAAGCAAATTCCCATTTTTCACAAAAGCCTTTATATATTAATTTATGAACATGATCTATATCATCTTCTTTCATAAAACGTATTGTAACATTGGTATTTCGAGGAGTGGGAGCAGAGCAGCTTGGATTAAAGCTATCATCATTTGGAAGAACAATAGTTTTAACAAAAAATCTAAACAGTGATACCATTTTGTTTTCGTTTTTTTATTGTTAAAAATACAAATATGAACAATTTTCTTTCCGCTTTTCTAATGCTTATTATTCTCAAAATCTACGAATCTTAGTTTTACGCACTTTTGATACTGATACAACAAAAAATAGTTGTATATAGTATTGAAAATAACATTAAACATACAAAGTCTAACTATTCGAATATTTTAAAATATAGGCTTTTTTAATTGAATGATTCATTTGCTTGGTTGACAATCTTCTTTGTATTTATTCTCTATTTTTGTATTTAAATTACCATATCAATTAATAACTTTCATAGCATTGCCATTTATTTAAGCATCATTTTTGTGTTTTAATCCCCATTTAAACATTTCAATTGTTATGTTGTTACTATAATAGATAATCCCCGCATGGGGATTGTTATTCGTAGATCAATTAAAATAAACAACTGACTAATAGTTTCCATTAAGCTAATAATTATTTCGTAAATCTATAACTGAAGTATTACAAATACAACTTAATCAGAATGATTAAGAGACAGAATAGTTGAATTAGAAATGTTAAATAATAGTATATTTTATTATAGTTTAATTGATTTTATTCAATTCTATATATAACTCTAGAAATTTGGTTGGAAATCTATTTTTAAACATTTAATTAATACTGTATTGTCGTTTTTTATCATTTATACCAGTTTATTTCGGCAATATTTTGATCATTTTACCTTAAATTCAATAAATTTTGGCCTAGTCTGTGGTTACTTTCTTTCAACATTAACTATCTAAAGATAGCGATTGTCGTTAATCATAATATAGAGATTAGAAAAATCGATACAGTTCTAAGAGATGGTAGAATAGGAAGAGATATCTTTGATTATCAGGAGAATAGAACGAAACATCGCGCTTTAAAGGTAAAATTTAAGCTATCATTCTATCCTATTTCCACGGGAGAAAAGAAAAGAAAAGGAGAAGAGAAGGGAAGGAAGGAAATAAATAATCAACAAAAGGAGAACTTTAACGTATCAATTCTGTTAAATCGATAAATAATATGTTGTAAACTTTGATAAAGAGAATTTAAACAGGCCAAATAAGGAAATTGAATAGTAAAGATTAATATTCCATTTCTTTTATAACCAATAATATTTTATCTAATAAGATACAAATATTGATTATTCGAATGTTTGTTTATAATTATTAAACAATAATTATAAAGAAAGAAGGCTATTATGGATAAATTAGTTAATTTAGTGAAAAAATATCATTCGGGACATCCTAGGCAAGTAAATCTATCATTACATAATGAAAAATTAATATTCTCACCTGAAAATATAAATATTCTACCAAAATATCGAATAATTAAGAATCTAGTAACGACAAACAATGACAAACAGGAAACAAATGTTGAATTTTCCTTTCTATTTGATCTATGTGGAAAAGATTTTAAAAAAGTTTTGATAAAAGGTGTAAGAGGAATTGGAAAATCTTTTCAAATCAAAAAATTACTCTCAATTTGGGCTAATAATGAAAGAAACTTCTCTCCAGTTAATGTCCTTTTTCTATTAGTCGATTTGAAAGATGCTAAACAAAATCAAGATATTTTTGATGTAATTTTACATCAGAATTTCCACGAATACGATAGAATACCAAAAGAAACAATAAAGCATTTCCTTCTTAGAAGTAAAGAATTTAAGACATTTCTACTATTCGATGGATTCGATTATTCTAGCAGTAGCTACTTTAAAAATCTTATTTTTAGTAATAAATTAGATATTCCAATGTTTATTTGGAGTAGAGAAATACAATTTCAAAAGCTTGATATTCTTTGTGATGTTATTGTTCAAATTGAAGGATTGGAAAAACGTCAAATTTGTCAACTCTACACTTGTTTAGTAAGTGAAACTGCAGCTTATTCTATTGTAGAATTCTTAGAAAAGCAACGACCAAAAACACTTCGACTAAGTTCAATTCCACTGATTGCGTTAGTCGTTCTTATCTTAATAAGAATTGAAGAGAAACTGTTAAACAAGGATTTCTTCCCAGTTCTAAATGGAATTTTGGCGAAGAAAGTTGATTATAATCCCGATTTTACTTACAATCAATTAGCAGAAACTCTATTAGAAATTATTTATTTCGAAAGTCTGGATCTCAGTCAAATTGAACTTGGTAATAGTGGTTTAACAAACCTTTCATCTTCCCTTTCTATATCACCGTATATTATTCGAGTTTTAAACTTTTCTGATTGTGCTCTTGAAGAGGCAGCAATGGATGCTTTTAAGGATATACTTAAGCATTTTTCACATCTAGAAGAGCTTAATTTAGGTTGGAATAACATAGGTGTAGTAGGTATGAAAAAGGTTTCTCCAGCACTTTTAGACGTCAGATCAACATTAAAGATTTTCAAAATATGCTCTAGTCAAATAGAGAAATTTGGAGTGCAGTATTTTGTAGAGAGTTTTGTCGAACTAAATAGTCTAAATATGTTGGACTTTTCATGGAATAAAATAGAAGACTATGGCCTAAATTTAATTTCATCGTCAATTAATAAAAATCATTATCATTTGAAAAGTCTTAAGTTATGGAAATGCAATATTTCTTCTAAAGGAATGTTAAACTTGTCAAAAGCACTAAACTATCTAAGATATCTTAATGAAATTGATCTTAGCTGGAACGATATTGGAGACACTGGATTACAATTTTTTCATGACTATTTTTACATTGATAAGACTAAATTAATGATCTTAAAATTGACCAATTGCGGTTTCTCTGATGAAGGAGCAAAACTTTTATCTCAAGCGTTACTTAAAACAATTTTCCTCGAAGAGCTACAAATTAATCGAAACAAGATTGAAGATAGCGGAATTAAGTCGTTAGCCTTCTCTTTAAGAATGACTAACCATAGGTTAAAAATTCTAAATATTTCCAGTTGTCATTTTGGAGTTAAAGGTTCTATTGAATTGTCTAAATCGCTTCACTTTCTAAAGGATTTGGAGGAATTATACTTGGGATGGAATAAAATTGAGGATACAGGGCTTAAATATATTTTGGAGCATTTATTTGCTAAAAAATTAAAGATACTCAATTTGAAAGACAGCTGTTTAAGGGAAACAGGAGGATTATATCTTGGTGAATATTTCGCTACAAATAACAAATTAGAGGAGTTGTATTTAGAAAATAATGAATTAGGTGAAAAAGGAATAAACCTATTCTGTCAATCGCTAAAGGAATCAACAGTTTACCTGAAAAATTTCAACTTGGCCAAGTGCTTTATCACACCGAAGGCTGTCGATGCATTAAGCAAAAAAATGATAAATTTTAAATACTTGGAAAACTTTGATTTAGGTTTTAATGATTTCGGCCCAGAAGCACTGAACAGTCTTATTACTTTGTTAAAAAGTTTAAATACTAAATTAAAGGTTTTAAAACTAAACAGCTGCAATATGAACGATCGTATAAAGGATTTATCTTATCATGTTTGTGAACTATATTACTGATAGTGAATTGTCACGTTACGTAAATACATTTTAGCAATAAAATTTATTCAAATACTTTAGCTAGTCAGTTTCGTTCATTCTTTGAATAAATAATTTTTATCTTTGAAAGAATGAATGCGACAAATCGTCCAAACTTTAACATATCTTCTTTTTCAGTTAACGCATCTAAACAAACAAAGCTTTTTGCCATTACATAGAACTTAACATTAGGCCTATTATGCATCTATAAACAAAACACTTATCAATAATATTTTAACTATTTCATTATCAATGAAAGTAGACTTTACTGAAGTAAAAATAGTATTCTCGTCCAATGACCCATTTAAAGAAAACTTTAGACTATGGCATTTCTTCAATGCTAGAATAACGTGTTTAATGCATATAAAACAGTTGAAATTTTTTAAAAAATCATCATTTATCTTCATTCTTTCAACTTTTGAATTGCAATGGCTAAACTGCAATTTTTCTTTACGATGAAGAAGCCAGAAACTTAGCACTGTCAATTAAAAGATAAAAAAATTTATAGGATATATAATAAACTATTACGCAACTTACTTTCAGCCGTTGCCTTCAACTCATTAGCATGCTGATATTCAAGTCTATATTTGATAATATAAATCCAATATAAATATACGTATAGATATATTAATAAAGACAGAAATAGAGAATAATTACTTTTTTTGCCATTTTAGTTTCTTTCTTTTAGTTTTATAAAGAACAATTGAACTTTTACATTGAAATGATAATGGAAAATATATGGTCAACACACTAAAAGTAATAATACAATACAAGTATATGCCATTATTCAATTTAGAAGGATATATATATATAACGATATCTATAAACATATATATATATATATATTTATATAAATATACGCTTTTATTGATTTTACTATAGATAGATCAACCTGTAATTGCGATAAAAAACCAGCCAATTAATTTTGATATATCAACATAGTTGTACATTTTTAAACTACTTAAATATAAACTTTTCTCAAATGAAACGCTCATTTTCATTATGTCTCTCTTCAATAACTTTCCAGCTGAATAACTCAGACGTAATGCCAAAAACAGTAGGAAAATTAATGCAATTTCATAAATGAAAACAATTATAAACCATTTTCGATTAGTGAACGAAATCAATTTAAAACAATATGGCATTTTAAGATAAACAGTCTGTTGAATAAAATTCAATGATTGTGTTCAATCTGTCGATAATTAGTGTTTAAACATTATTCTATTAGAATTTACTTCATAGATAAGATTTGGAAGACTTCCTATCATAATTGAAAATATCCCACATACAAGACATACAAGTGATACAAATTTCATGGAAAATCTTGAACTTAGAGGTGATGCAATGCCGTGATATCTTTCAATACTTATTAGTAATAAACTTAGAGATGATAGGATTAGTGATGAATTCATTACGCTTCCAATCAATTTACAAGTAATTCCGTATCGCCATTTGTCGTCGTTTTCCTGAAATTTCCCTTTAAAATACAAATCCGCTATAGACATTGATATAAAATACAATGACGTCAAGAAATCTCCGGCAGACAACATGATGTAGAACAAATGAGAAGGTCTACTCATCGAAATTATTCTATACGTCAATGAGAATACGTTGCCTATGAATCCAGTGAATCCAAATATCCAGAATATACTCCTCACCAGATTCGAAATCAACAGGTCGGAGCACGTATTCAATAGGGCATTTGCAGGTGAACAATCGTACAGTTGGGCCGAAAATTTCCATCCCAAACAACACATCCTAAAGTATTCAGTATGAAGAACTCGAATATTAACGAGATATTTCATATTATCATATCTCAAAATCCTCATAAACGTTGTTCTCTTCATGTAAAGAACTTTGAGATTTTCGAAATATCTAAACACGTCTAAATCCATATTACTAATAATACAATGATTGATTTTCAACAATTGTAGACGGCTCAGGTTTCTAAAGACATTTTTATGAAGATAGATAATATTTGTGAAAGAGATGTCCATCTGTAAGAGATTGGGAAATATTTCAAATGTTAACTGTTCATCTATTCTAAGAGGATTATGCGAAAGGTTAAGATGCTGCAATATATTCCATTGATTACGTTTCAACAGTTGAATATTTGTCAATTCACAATTTGTTATGTGTAAAAGGAATAAATTTGGAGTTTTTATACGCAAAAATGAATTGTTGAATTTTGTATTAGTTAGAAACAATATTGCCAAATCAATTGAATCTATTTGCTTTTGAACAAGATTAACGTTAACAAGCGTAATCTTTTTAGTTTGTATCAGAGATGGATTATTCAAAGTGATGTTATTTCCAAAGAATGTTGTATTAAAAACACATTTTAGATGATATTTAATAGAACAGTCACATTTTAATGGACATAGCTGCATTTTACCCTGACAATATAGTTCATCATTACCAGTTTTACAATTAATAATTCCATTACATATACTACTTATATTGATATAAAGACTTTGCTTTCTGCACTTGAAGAAACCAGTAGCAACAAAATGTTCTATATTTCGAATTAAATTAGATTAATAATAGGTTAGATATATACGAAATAGATTTATTTTACCGCAATTCGTTTCATCTTCGTTATTGAAGCAGTCATTAACCTCATCACAAACGCGTCCTATTGGAATGCAAAATTTATAGGTTGTACATAAAAATTCACCATAATCGCATTTAGCCCTATTGCAATTTTTGAAATTGATATATGGATGATTCATATTGCTGAACATATTCCCTTTTGAATCATAGTTTATGGAACATTCTTGTTTTGCATCGTGAATCAGATTGAAAAACCTATGTTTTTATTATAATGTATTCTTTTTCCGTTGTTGTTTACATGGAATTATAATGTTTGAAATACCTGAATATATACATTTTTCCTAGACATATGTTGGAAATTTCATCACTTAAATCCATACAATCATTAAAAGTATCACATTTATAACGAATAGGTATACAGTCGTTACTGCACGCAAATTGATTCTTTTCATTACAATCTGATAAAAGTGAAATATTTAATATAACTTATATAGTCAATCACCTAGAAATTGAATATTATGAGTTATTAACTTGTAATGGAATTATTGAAATTATAAAAAAGACATTGTTCATCACTCTTATCAAGACAATTATACTCATTATCGCAGAAATATTCAATTTGTAAACATTCGTTACTTTTACATCTGATGAACGACATATTTCGTATAAAAGACAAAATGGTATTACACAATAATAAGGAAGTTTTACTTTCTAAAGTTATCTTTGCATTGTCTTCTCTCTAATTTGTTGTTGGATTAAATTTTGAAAAGTAAAGTATAAATTCGTTTTAAATACTTTTTTTATTAACCGCAAAATTGCTCATCAGATCCGTCAGAGCAATCTTCTCTATAATCGCAAGTATACTGATAAGGAATCTTAGCTTTTAAATTAAAACAGGAAAATGTAATAATTTCATCACAATTATATTCATCTTCTCCCAAGGAACAATCTTTTATTCCATCACAAACTTGAATATAATTTACATATATTCTACTCAAAAAGCAGTAGAACGCTAATTTTGAATAATTTAAATTATTATCATATTGAATAAGTTGTTCTTGAGGATCATTATTCAAGTAGCCTAGAAAATATGCAATGTAATATATTAATTAGTTAATTTGCGAATACTATACTAGCAAAGCTATGACAGATTTGATAAGAAAATATTTTCAAATTACAAGGAATAGCTTTCAGTACAATTTTTGAACTATTATAATAATCAAGTGGAATGAATGAGGTAATAAAACAATTGTCTCTTGGACTCAATTTCTCATAGTGTTTTGTAAAGACTAATACTTTATCAGTCTTGTGAAATTTTTCGTCTCCATCATGTTTAACTAAATAGTGTGATAAATATCTTAGTGGTCTACCAGTTGATGTTACTTTAAAACTTTCATCATCGTTTATTGTTTTATTACGTAAAACTGTTTAAATTAATTGAACAATCATTTTCAAAGCGTTCAATTAATAATCTATTAAAATATGCCAACCGGAAAAAAATACCAATTTTTCATTTTTTCCCTTTATGATTAACTTGTAGAAAAAATCATATAAAAGAAACATATCCTCATTTTGATCAAAAAGCGTTAAATTCTTATTTGAACATATTTGATTTCCTTGAACAGGACTTATTCTCTTTTTATGTCTTATGAAGTAATAACAATCATTAAGAATTCTATAACTATCGGGATGGGAGCACTCTGTAACAATATTTATAAATGTTGAATTAAGTATTCGTTAGAGGTAACTAGTGTTATTAGCTAATTTAGACGCCGTTTTACTATACGATAATACTAATTTTAACTAGTTACCCCAAAAATTTTAAATTGAAAACTAATAACTTTGAATCTTTGCAACGGTACATTCAATTTTTATTGAATCAATACCATCGTTATTTAATCTATTTATTTAAAGAATATATCTATATTAGCATTTAATTTATTGGAAATATAATAATTCTAATTCCTTTTTGGTCTTTTACTAACATTTCTGTAAATGAACAGTCGCTTATCTTTGTTACATTCAAAGGACAATGTAAACTTAAAATATATTCAAAATCGAAATCTTCTTTCGTTTTATAATGTTTTTTATCATTACGAACAAATGATCCTGTTAAAAATCCAAAATACTGACAAACTAATTCAAGTAAATGGCTTGTTAATGAGTAGCGATCAATCATATACCATTTTGAATCGTAGAATATTTGAAAATATCCTACATAGCTGTTAGAATGTATCCTTCTTTTAGAAATATAGTCATTTTGATTATTATATAATCGAAATTTAGAGGCAATATAAGTTTCAGTTAGGCATTTGACATCCAGTAAGTATTTAGTATTAGACTTTATCGGTGAACAACTTGAATAGAATTCTTTATTTGCCTTACAGAAATCTAATACATAACCATTCTGAAATAGTAATTTTGAACAG